AAAATAAAAAACTATATTTTCCTTACAGTATTGGGTGGGTGAGTTAAGTGAGGTGGTGTATAAGGGGTCAAAGACTCGGGTTTGGAATATTTAAATTTAAGTGGTGAGATTTGTATCATTGTACTCAATTTTTCTCAATAATGAAGAAGGTGGTAAGATTACTCCCCGTAAATGTAGACAAGGAATATTTGTCAAATCTATATCTATATTTATATTATTACTATAAAATATCAACAAATGTGAAAAAATTTTGATTGACTATAATAACCATATCAAAAATAACTAATAGTACCAATTATATCCTTTTAGAGTTAAAATAACGTCATTATTACTATATTATTTGTAATTGTAACTGTTATGTGGACTCGTAACTGTTGGGTTGTTATTCCAGACATATTTTTATTTTTCTTGTTCCATGCTAATTAAAATGATAAAACCAACGGTCACCATTAATATTTTTCTTATCCTTATATAAGATATAAATATTCGTTGTGCATTTGAATAAATATATCAGGTACTTGGATTATATCCATTGCAAAGCCAAATAAACTGAACATAACTCAATGTGTTTAGACACTTCCAATTATGTCCCTTTTTTCTCTGTCATCTATTGTAACTGATTTAGTAAATATATGAATTACCAAACAAAACTTTAAATATTATTTTCAACAGTGAATAAAATGTTGAATCAATTCATGTCTTTGATGTTTCATACTTCCTATTGAACTTGTTCTTCCTTTTTTCGTCTCTCTCACGAACTAAAGCATGTGTATCTTGAAGCCAACTCAGTGGCTGATGCAATATCAGCTTCAATTGGGGCAATAAAGGAAGAGAGACTAAAATTTAGGATTTGTACGGTGCTTTAGGTTCTTGGGTCTCATTTGACCTATGCTATTGATGTTCCTGTTTCAAATGTTTGGTGTTCCTGTTACAAATGTTTGGTGCTCTGTTTCAATTGTTCTTTACTTGATTTTTAGTGTTTGCAATTGATTTTCTTCTGTAGGGGTTTGTTTCTCGTGAGAGTCTTTGCAGAATATTATGTGTGTCATGTTTCTTTCATTAGGATATTGATTGATTATTTGGGTAATAGTTAATTTTAATTTTAATAGTTTGGGTCTATGCATAAAAATTTTCTTTGACGGGTTCATTTATTATATGTTTAATTGTTGATCTTTTCGGCAAATTTTTATTGAGCTGGATGTTTGATTTTGCACATTTTTGAGATCGTGGAAATAGAATTTTCAATTACATTTTCAATCCTAAAAAATCATATTCACGTGAAAGAAATCAAGGTACAAACAACATTAGGACCAAATTTTAGACTCAATAGTCAAGTTGAATTTATAACATCCACGGGGTTTTCCAACTTGATGGCACAGGTTTTACTATTCCTTGTGTTCTCTTACCAAAATTATCATTACTTGAGTATGGCAATATTAAAGAAAGTGAGGATTGGCCTAGCACAAGCAATGGAGTGGGATTTAGGAAAGCTGTGTTTGTGAATGGAAAAGATCCATGATGATTATACAAATAAGCAATGTATATAAGTTACATGAACCGAATCCCCACAAGGTAGAAAAGCAATACCATACAAATTCAGTAGGGCTCAAAACGATGTGATGAGATGGAGGTGGTTGAATAATTGCACAATTACAACCTCACAAGGCTTGGCATAGATGACATCACTTGGAAATATTATAAGGTTGGATAAACGATTTGTCTTCACTAAATATTTTATAAATTATTATTTTAGCCATCGTTTTCTTTTTAAAACATGATTCTTGTTTGTATAATCATCATGTTTCTGATACATAAAGAAAACACTAATGTCTACAAATATTGTGTTTTTGGGAAAAGTGTCCCATACTTCAGATGTTTAATATTTATGCACTATGTGTACAATAATAAAAGTAACTTACATGAAAAAAAATATGATTACCATAAACACCTCCAAACAATTGTATAATGTTAATATCGTGCATCTATATCTATACTATAATAGTTTGTGCTCAAATACAGGGGCGGAGGCAAAAAAAAATTATAGGGGTGGGCACACTAGCATTTTTTTATTTTTTTTTAATAGATCGTAAAAGTTCATAAATTTATATTTATTAAAATTATATTTAATACTTTTTAAACATAAAAGATTAAAAATCGATATACTCATAAACAAAAAAATAATAATTAAAACTTCTTATCGAGAATGCGACTAATTATTATTACTGACAATTGACCTGGATATGTTTTTATTATTTGAAAGAGTTACAAATTAATTTTATCAACAATATTTATTTTATACATAAAATTGGGTTAACAATATTCGATTTATGATCCTATAGTTTACTACATAACAACGCACATTTTTATACAATAACGAAGAACATATCTAAAACATGTCTAAAAGTTAACAATTATATTAGTTGTACCTAATTTAAGATTTAATTGATTGAGACCCAATAGTTTGTGACAATTTGATAGATAGTAAAGTTTATTAAATATTAAGACTCACAATTATACTTAATATTACAATATATTAAATTCTTAAATTAGGTTTCAATAATATTATTTAAAAAGTTATATGACAGTTCTTTTGGAGAGACACATGGTCTTCAAATTGACCAATGAGCATGTCTATTTTAAGGTCTTTAAATTTTTATTCTTATGGTTTTTACAATTGGTAAATTTTATCTCAAAAAATTATGCAATTTGATAAATATTATTTTAATGTCTTACAGTTGTTCTATATATTTGGCCTGCGTGCAACACACGTGGGCAATAATTAATCATATAAATAGCGTTTGTCGTATTCTTGCATCTTTTGATTTATTTATTTTTTGATTATTGGTTAAATAAAATTGGTGCAAGTAGATTCAAAACAAAAAAACTTTGGATTAATAATAAGGTGTGCGTGTTCTTAACTATCACTAAACAATACCACATGATGAACAAGAATCTCGATAGATAAAATCGAGATGAAGCCTTGAGAAAAATAACTTTAGCATGTTACAAAATACATTTAAAGGCATTTTGGTGATTTATTATGGTGCTTGGTGATTTTAGTTAAAGGTTAGAGAATTAAACTTAATAATAGAGATATTAAGAGTGATATGAAAGTATAAATATGGATACGCGTGGGTTATTCAGAGGATTGTAAGATTTATCGATTTAAGCTCAAGATTGTGGGCTGAAAACAAGTTTTAGATATAACTAGATCTTAACTCCAGTATTGTCTTAGTTATTTGTTTAAATTATCGTTTTGAGGGAAAGATGGATCATTAATGTAAACGATTTAGAAGATATAATTGGAGGACATGTATAATTAAATTCTATTTGTATAGTTGGGGAAAATCTGACATATCTTTACCAAATATTTCAAATATTTATGGCTCTTAAATACTAATGCGTCAATATACATACTTTTCTAAAATTTTGTGGCTCTGCGGGTTTCCTTTATGGATTTTCTACTTGTATATCGAAACATGAGATCATTATAATGTTACATGTGTTTAATTCAAAAATTATATGTTACTTTGTAAATTGAGCCCTACCTATTTTATCTTTTTATAAACCTTATTTAGGATTGGAAAAATTTCCCTACCAATCCCTTCTCTTCGCGCCAAGATTGGATTTCACCTATGATCAGATCAGTGGGCAACCATAGTTGACTTTTTTCGTGGTGTTGAATTAGTCGTACTCACTCATTCTTTACATTACTAAATTATAAATTAAATGAATTAAATATTAAGTTGTTAAAAATAAAATTTAAAATATTAATTTGATAAAATTAAATGTTAATTGGGGTTAAATTGATGAAATTAGTGTTAGTGTGATGAAATTAATATTTGAATTAATGAAATTAAATGTCAATTGATTAATAAAATTGAAGGTTAATTTGATGAAACTAAATTTAATATTAATTTAACAAAATTAAATTTTAAAATGTTAATTTAATAAAATTAAATATTAAATTGGTGTTAAATTGATGAAGTTAATGTTAGTGTGACGAAATTAATACTTGAATTGATGATGTTAAATGTCAATTTGATGAAATTGAAGTTCAAATTAATTTTAATTTAATGAAACTAAATTTTAAATTTAATTGAGGTTTGTGTAGGGTAATTTAGAAACTATAAGGAGCTCAAGGGTAAACAATAGGATTAATGACTTGAAGAGTAATTCAGTAAAATCACATCTCTATTTAGTCTGTTAAATGACATAATCTAACAAGGGTGATAGTGACATTTTAAAAATTATAGGGAGTGTCCATGTAATTAGGTCAATCTCGAGGGAGTGTCAAAAAAATTTACCTAATTTTCTAAGTTTTTTTCAACTAATTTAAGGATTGTATATAAAAAAAAACTAATTTAAGGATGATGAGTTAATCAACAAATATAAAAGTTGGAAACACCATTTTAATTTTTTTTAATTAAAATTATTTTAAAATCCGCCTCAGGTTTTGGAAAGGAAAAAAATTGTTGTTTTGTTCATAAAACAATTTAAAAATATTTTTCAAATGAGTTTTTTATTTTTATTTTTATTTTTTTATAATAGAAAATACAACCAAATAAAATTTTTTATTTTCAATTTTATAAAAAAAATAAATCAAAACTATTTCAGTTTTTATTTTTTAAAAAAACTGAAAACCGATCACCTTTCCAAACGTACCCTCACTTGCTCTCTCTCTCCAAACTGACTACGCTCATTAAAGACCATCAACCCAGTAATCAGAGACCTCGAAACCCATAACCATGTCGAATCTCAAACCAATCCTCCTCTTCTCTCTCCCCCCACTCTCTCTCATCTCCCTCCTCCTCCTCTTCTTCCACCACCACCACCACTTATCTTACTCCTCACCTTTCTCAAACCTCTTCCCACCTCCACCCAAAATAGCCTACTTCATCTCCGGTACCAACGGCGACGTATCTCGGATTTTCCGACTTGTTCATGCTATTTACCACCCTAGAAACTACTACTTATTACACCTTGACCACCGTGCTTCAATGAAACAGAGACAAGAGCTTGCAGCTATGGTAAGTTCTGTTGAAGTATTTCTTGTGGCTGGGAATGTGAAGGTTGTTGAAAAGGCAAATTCGGTGCACGAAGAGGGCTCTTCATCTTTGGGTTTAGTGCTTCATGGGGCTGCCATTTTGTTGAGGTGGAAGAAAGAGTGGGATTGGTTTCTTAATCTCGATGCCTCTGATTATCCTCTTATTCCTCAGGATGGTATGTTTGAACTTCAAACTTTTTCTTTACATTTTGAATTTATCTGTTGGTGTTTCTTATATTCAATGATCTGATGGATATTCTGAAAATTTTTAACTATGGATGACAATCTCAGACCAATAGTGGATTAATTGGTCTGTGCATTGCGACCGAGAGTGTGTCTAGTTAGGCCAGTGTGATTTCCATTTTCAAGTGGATATACCAGAATGTAATTTGAAGGTGGTTTTGAATCAGGCATTTCAAGTTCTTTTTTCTTCAACAATGGTGGATATTGATACTGTTGAGAATATAAATTTGAAGTTCAAATGATAAAAGTCAGGAAACCCCAAGTCTTGCTTAGGGGACCAAACTTTATGGTGATCTGAAAATGATTTTTCTACCATTAGTAGTCAAAAGAAAATGTTTTCAGGACAGTGTTAGCATTGGCCAACAGATTTGGCCACCAAACCTATGACTTCTAGCAAATGAAGTAAGTTATATGAGACAATTAAAAATTACAGAATAGGTGGCATAACACTACATCACAGTATTATCATTTATCAAATGTTTTGTGTAGTAGTAATGGGAATAGTTAAGTGTCCACATGGCAGGTATTGGTATTCTACTCAACCTTTCTAATTGACATTCTGTTGCTTGCTTTCGCAATTACAACCATCTCCGATGAATGAATTCTGAAAACTAACAGTCAACATATTTTTAACGAGCTCAGGGCCAATACTGGTAGATTCAATTTGCCAAACTTGCTTTACTCTCTATTTAGTGAGGTCGGAAATAAACAGGTAAATATGTATTTTCCATCATGGTATGGTCCAATACTCATGTTGGTGATATAAGTATTGATACAAATAAAATTGATATTAAAATTTTTACAGCTTGTGTTACTAATAAAATTATTTGCAAATGGTTGGCCATGGGCTACCATTAGTTTCAGTTTTATTGCTCCTAGATGATAATCAATCAACACACACACACCCCTCTAATTGGACTTAAATTTTCCCGAGCTTTCCAATGTTCTTTGATAAACTCTCTTGAAATGAATCAATACCATATTGAAAGAACAAGTTATGGAACTCAAAAACCAGATAGTGATCGTTTATTCTCTTAATAATCATATGATAAAAGAAGTTGGGTGCTTGTTCTGTTGAGTGAGTTAAATTAACAAGGAATTCCCAAGCCTAAGAAAGTATCGAGTTTGTAACTCGATCGATTACCGAAGTCGTCTCCTTGGGAAAACAGTCGGCTCAAGTGGTGAAAGGTAAACTATTAATTTTGAAAGATTTGGTTGTAGAAATTATTACTTAAGAATTAATAATTAAAAGAAGGACCGGCTAATCGGTAGAGTTCATCTAACCATGAACTGGTATTTTGACTCAATTTCTATAACTCATTTGAGATTGTACTCAAACACACTCAAACGGAAAATATTTATTTAACACCCAATTGAAATTAACATATATGTATTCACATCAATTGATTTGATTTTGAATGAATTACATTTACTTCAATTGCAGTGATTCCAACAATTCCTTTTATCAAATTTAACTATCTACAAGTAAGTAAGAAGATATACATATCAAAAAAAAATATCAACTCTAATCATTCAAATAATCCAAAATACTTAATCACTGGAATAACCCTAATCGAGTCAAAATCTCCAATTCACGGATGAGACTCCCTCATCTGATCAAACCGNTTTTTTATTTTCAATTTTATAAAAAAAATAAATCAAAACTATTTCAGTTTTTATTTTTTAAAAAAACTGAAAACCGATCACCTTTCCAAACGTACCCTCACTTGCTCTCTCTCTCCAAACTGACTACGCTCATTAAAGACCATCAACCCAGTAATCAGAGACCTCGAAACCCATAACCATGTCGAATCTCAAACCAATCCTCCTCTTCTCTCTCCCCCCACTCTCTCTCATCTCCCTCCTCCTCCTCTTCTTCCACCACCACCACCACTTATCTTACTCCTCACCTTTCTCAAACCTCTTCCCACCTCCACCCAAAATAGCCTACTTCATCTCCGGTACCGACGGCGACGTATCTCGGATTTTCCGACTTGTTCATGCTATTTACCACCCTAGAAACTACTACTTATTACACCTTGACCACCGTGCTTCAATGAAACAGAGACAAGAGCTTGCAGCTATGGTAAGTTCTGTTGAAGTATTTCTTGTGGCTGGGAATGTGAAGGTTGTTGAAAAGGCAAATTCGGTGCACGAAGAGGGCTCTTCATCTTTGGGTTTAGTGCTTCATGGGGCTGCCATTTTGTTGAGGTGGAAGAAAGAGTGGGATTGGTTTCTTAATCTTGATGCCTCTGATTATCCTCTTATTCCTCAGGATGGTATGTTTGAACTTCAAACTTTTTCTTTACATTTTGAATTTATCTGTTGGTGTTTCTTATATTCAATGATCTGATGGATATTCTGAAAATTTTTAACTATGGATGACAATCTCAGACCAATAGTGGATTAATTGGTCTGTGCATTGCGACCGAGAGTGTGTCTAGTTAGGCCAGTGTGATTTCCATTTTCAAGTGGATATACCAGAATGTAATTTGAAGGTGGTTTTGAATCAGGCATTTCAAGTTCTTTTTTCTTCAACAATGGTGGATATTGATACTGTTGAGAATATAAATTTGAAGTTCAAATGATAAAAGTCAGGAAACCCCAAGTCTTGCTTAGGGGACCAAACTTTATGGTGATCTGAAAATGATTTTTCTACCATTAGTAGTCAAAAGAAAATGTTTTCAGGACAGTGTTAGCATTGGCCAACAGATTTGGCCACCAAACCTATGACTTCTAGCAAATGAAGTAAGTTATATGAGACAATTAAAAATTACAGAATAGGTGGCATAACACTACATCACAGTATTATCATTTATCAAATGTTTTGTGTAGTAGTAATGGGAATAGTTAAGTGTCCACATGGCAGGTATTGGTATTCTACTCAACCTTTCTAATTGACATTCTGTTGCTTGCTTTCGCAATTACAACCATCTCCAATGAATGAATTCTGAAAACTAACAGTCAACATATTTTTAACGAGCTCAGGGCCAATACTGGTAGATTCAATTTGCCAAACTTGCTTTACTCTCTATTTAGTGAGGTCGGAAATAAACAGGTAAATATGTATTTTCCATCATGGTATGGTCCAATACTCATGTTGGTGATATAAGTATTGATACAAATAAAATTGATATTAAAATTTTTNATGGTCCAATACTCATGTTGGTGATATAAGTATTGATACAAATAAAATTGATATTAAAATTTTTGCAGCTTGTGTTACTAATAAAATTATTTGCAAATGGTTGGCCATGGGCTACCATTAGTTTCAGTTTTATTGCTCCTAGAAGATAATCAATCAACACACACACACCCCTCTAATTGGACTTAAATTTTCCCGAGCTTTCCAATGTTCTTTGATAAACTCTCTTGAAATGAATCAATACCATATTGAAAGAACAAGTTATGGAACTCAAAAACCAGATAGTGATCGTTTATTCTCTTAATAATCATATGATAAAAGAAGTTGGGTGCTTGTTCTGTCGAGTGAGTTAAATTAACAAGGAATTCCCAAGAAAGTATCGAGTTTGTAACTCGATCGATTACCGAAGTCGTCTCCTTGGGAAAACAGTCGGCTCAAGTGGTGAAAGGTAAACTATTAATTTTGAAAGATTTGGTTGTAGAAATTATTACTTAAGAATTAATAATTAAAAGAAGGACCGGCTAATCGGTAGAGTTCATCTAACCATGAACTGGTATTTTGACTCAATTTCTATAACTCATTTGAGATTGTACTCAAACACACTCAAACGGAAAATATTTATTTAACACCCAATTGAAATTAACATATATGTATTCACATCAATTGATTTGATTTTGAATGAATTACATTTACTTCAATTGCAGTGATTCCAACAATTCCTTTTATCAAATTTAACTATCTACAAGTAAGTAAGAAGATATACATATCAAAAAAAATATCAACTCTAATCATTCAAATAATCCAAAATACTTAATCACTGGAATAACCTTAATCGAGTCAAAATCTCCAATTCACGGATGAGACTCCCTCATCTGATCAAACCGGAGTTCCACTACTCACTCATTATCGAATTGAAAATGAAAACAATACTTGTAATTGAAAACAAAGATAACTTCAATTGAAATTGCAAGTAAATGAAAATATCTTAAATTGAATTACAAGAATGTAAATCGTTCACAATAAGAAATTGAATGTAATTGCATTGCAAGTATTTAAGAATTTGAAATTAACAAAGCTTGTAACTTGAACAATAGAGGTAAAACTCTTGAAGTAAAAACCCTAATTCTAAACCTAGGAGAGTAAAAAGAACGATGAAAGAACGTCTTTTACGATGAATTATAACGATCCTTCTCTCTTTGCCAGACTTGGGTATTTATAGGAGNGCTAGGAGAGTAAAAAGAACGATGAAAGAACGTCTTTTACGATGAATTATAACGATCCTTCTCTCTTTGCCAGACTTGGGTATTTATAGGAGGTCTTTTGCTGATTTTTCTCCTTTTGATCCACCAATCACGACCTTAAAATATTCGGCGTATTGCCTTTTCAAATCTATCATTACTGCAGAATTACAATAACCTACCGACAAAAGCATACAACGACCTACCAATAAAACTGTTCACTATTTGCATGAACTGGTTGACCTTTTCTTCTACTGGTAGAACACCTTTCTGTTTCAAACGTACCGGTAGAACAACTCTATGTTTTACTTCTAGCAGCAAGAATGAGCTTCTACTGGTAGAATCCATTTCTGCCTTCAGTTGAATCGGTAGAAGATCTACTGGTAGAACAAGTCTTTTCTTCGATTATTCTTGTAGTGGCCTTGGCTTGATTCCTCAACCTTCAAGCTCATCCTCCACGTTCTCCATGACATTGAAATGTGTGCAAAGCCTCACTTTTACATGTGTTCACTAGCAAACATCAATTTCCTCTGTAAAATACAAAACTAAACTAAAACAAAGGAATTAAGTCACTAGCATAACTAAGTNATTTCTGCCTTCAGTTGAATCGGTAGAAGATCTACTGGTAGAACAAGTCTTTTCTTCAATTATTCTTGTAGTGGTCTTGACTTGATTCCTGAACCTTCAAGCTCATCCTCCACGTTCTCCATGACATTGAAATGTGTGCAAAGCCTCACTTTTACATGTGTTCACTAGAAAACATCAATTTCCTCTGTAAAATACAAAACTAAACTAAAACAAAGGAATTAAGTCACTAGCATAACTAAGGTGGATGATATAAGGCCTATAATATGCAATATTATGCTCGCATCACTGGGTTCTTGAGTCTTCGGATGTTTGCTCCACTAAATCTTTCTATGATTCTATGATTGTTAAGCCCTCTTGTCCCCTTTTCATTCTTGATATGATGATTTAGAAGACAAATGTGCCTATTAAGGTGCAAGTTTTTGCATGGACGGATGCACATGGGAAGATTATTAATAATGATTTGTTTCAAAAAAGGAGGCCTAATACTTTTCTTTTTCCTCTGGTGAGTGATGTGCAAAGGTGATTATGAAAGTATTGACAATTTATTTCTTCATTGCTTCGNCAAATGTGCCTATTAAGGTGCAAGTTTTTGCATGGACGGATGCACATGGGAAGATTAATAATAATGATTTGTTTCAAAAAAGGAGGCCTAATACTTTTCTTTCTCCTCTGGTGAGTGATGTGCAAAGGTGATTATGAAAGTATTGACAATTTATTTCTTCATTGCTTCATCTTTGTAGTATAAATTGCTTGACTTGGTGGGTTTGAAATGGGTTCCTCCCACATCGTTCATTTGTTTGCTTGTGAAAGACTTAAAGGACTTGGGTCTCTTGATAAGGGTGTCACTCTTTGAAATTGTGCGATTGTGGCGACTTTTTGGATTATATGAAAAGAAAGGAATGCACGAATCTTTGAAGNAAGACTTAAAGGACTTGGGTCTCTTGATAAGGGTGTCACTCTTTGAAATTGTGCGATCGTGGCAACTTTTTGGATTATATGAAAAGAAAAGAATGCGCGAATCTTTGAAAATTGGTGTGAATGTTTGAATAGATTATGGGATCAGATTCATTTTATTTCATCATTTTAGGCATCGGTTTCTAAAGATTTCAAAGGAATCCCACTCTTTGCTATTTTATCGGGATGGAGAGTTTTGCGTGATCTATAGACTTTTTATGTTTTTGCCTTTCATTGTATTTTTGCTCTGTGGTTGGATTTCTTATCCAACTGCCTTTCATGTAATTAATGCAATATGNAGTTTTGCGTGATCTATAGACTTTTTATGTTTTTGCCTTTCATTGTATTTTTGCTCTTTTGTGGTTGGATTTCTTATCCAACTGCCTTTCATGTAATTAATGCAATATGTTCGTCTCTTGTCAAAAACAAAAAAAGTTAGTATAATTAATAAGTTATTTTTTTAGGGTTACTATTAGATTTTCTCTAATCTCCATGCAACCTACTGAAAATTGTTTTGAAATTGGATAAGTTACAGTAGAGTCGTAAAAGAATCTCCACTCTAACTGCCTCATTCACCTGAATCGTTAACTTTACCAGTGCAAACATTGTGGAGAGTTAGTGACAATTCATCCAATATTGCAACACATGCATTAGCGGCTGGGGCTCAGCACCAAGTAAATCTGCACATCCGAGGCTTATGTTTCAAATTCTGCCTATCACANAAATTGGATAAGTTACAGTAGAGTCGTAAAAGAATCTCCACTCTAACTGCCTCATTCGCCTGAATCGTTAACTTTACCAGTGCAAACATTGTGGAGAGTTAGTGACAATTCATCTAATATTGCAACACATGCATTAGCGGCTGGGGCTCAGCACCAAGTAAATCTGCACATCTGAGGCTTATGTTTCAAATTCTGCCTATCAAGGATAAAAAGGAAAAAATGAAGAAAGAAAGAAAATGGTTTTGAGTATGATTTCTTAAGAACTTGTCTTGGTCATGAACATTTGACTTGTTTTTCTGCAATGGCAATAAAACAGTCTCTTGCGAGTTTATAAAATTTTCGTAGTTCCTAATGAAACTCACGTCAGAAAAATATCTCCGAAGGCATTGATTTTATATGAATAATGCAAGTAATCAAAAGTATTATATATAACTGTGTTTTATTCCTTTTTTTTTTCCATGGCATCTTTGATGTTGATGTATTTCATAAATCATTTATCTACAGATTTTCTCCACATCCTGTCTTTTGTGCCAAGAGAAGTTAATTTCATAGAGCATACTAGTAACATTAGCTGGAAGGAGTAAGAATTATCATTTATCTATCACACTTCCTGAATTTTTGGTCATCCACGACCAGATCTTCTTGCTGATATTAATACTTGATTTCTGTTTTAGATATCAGATGACTATGGAAATTGTTATTGATCCTCGCCTTTATCTTGCATCAAAAGGAAAAATGTTCACGGGGAATAAAAAACGCCCACAGCCCAATGCTTTCAGATTTTTCACTGGTATGTTTTTTGTCAAATGTAATCTTACCATATTCAATAGTAGAGATTCCTTGTTCTAGTGTGTTATTCTGCTTTATTTGCATTCCTTTTTGGTATTTATAATGTGCCTTTCTTGGGGCCAGTGGTCACAGGATGATATTTGTTGCCTTAGAAATTTTACTATGGGAGACCTGTTATTTTTGGATTGGTAGCAAATATGCCATCGGTTGCACATTCGTCAGGCATAAAATAATGCATGGTTTCAATGCTGAACTATCTCANATTCTGCTTTATTTGCATTCCTTTTTGGTATTTATAATGTGCCTTTCTTGGGGCCAGCGGTCACAGGATGATATTTGTTGCCTTAGAAATTTTAGTATGGGAGACCTGTTATTTTTGGATTGGTAGCAAATATGCCATCGGTTGCACATTCGTCAGGCATAAAACAATGCATGGTTTCAATGCTGAACTATCTCAAACTCTTGTTTAGGAGAAAGAATTTAAGTCGGATATCCTGGATTTAATTTTTAGTATCTTCTGTAGTAAAAGAGTTAAAATATAGTGAACGTCGCTGTGCTTTTTGTTTAAAAAATTCTATGAGAAGTTTATGCAATTACAACTTCATGTTCATGCCCATCCTCTGTTAATAACCTACTGCAAAGAAACGCCGCCGAAAGATACCTCGACTCTCTTCCTTTTCTTTTCAGCTAGCTATTAATGCTTTAGATAATCTCTTGAGAACATTTGCTGCTGCAGAAATATTTCAGCATGGGGACCATCATGCTAGCTGCATACTACCGTGTCTTTCTTGTCTGCAAATTTTTATTAAATCATTATAATGAAGATAGAGAATAATTGTGTGCTCTAATGGCTGACCAGTGATGCTGGACATCAAATTGGTTAAGGCTTTGGAACTGAATAGAGCACCAATTTTGGTTCCTCAGAATTTTGGTCATCGGGGTCACTTTTTTTCATAGGAATAGTCCAATGTCTAGGGGATCTTTCATGTAGTAATTTCTTTATGTTCTTTTAGGTCTTTTTGGTGTGTATGGATGTTCAAATAACAAAATGAATATACTTCTGTTTGTTTTGTAAATGTGTTTTACCCTCCTTCCATTTCTTTTCCTGTCACTAGTTAATATTGAGCCACCAACCCACTCCAGGGCCCACATAAGGAAGGTGTTGGGCATTTTATCAGTTTTTAAGGATATTCAATGTCTCTTCTTTTTTTGTTTTTGTTTTATCTCTCTGCTAAATACCTGGAAATAAAACATGTAACTTGTTTGTCTAAGCCAAGTTTCCTCAATTGCATCAGGCTCTTCTCATGTGATTTTAAGTCGGAAGCTTGTAGAGTTCTCCATTCTGGGATGGGACAACTTTCCAAGAACCCTCCTCTTGTACTTCTCCAACACCAGATTCTCACATAGAGGATATTTTCAGACTCTTGCCTGCAATTCCAAGGGTTTCTCCAACACAGTCATCAACTCCAACTTGCGGTGTATTGAATGGGATGACCCTGGTGTAAGAGAGCCTCTATATCTGAAATCTTCTTATTTGAAGAGCATGCAAGCAAGTGGTGCTGCTTTTGCTGGAAAATTCGCAGCAAATGATCCAGCTCTGGACGTGATTGACTCGCTAGTACTTCACAGGGGTCGGGGTATGATAACACCCGGAGGGTGGTGTTTAGGTACGCCAGGATGGGGGAGAGATTCTTGCCAGCTGTGGGGTGACATAAATATTCTTAAACCAGGTCCTGCTGCCAAGATTTTTGAGAAGCTTCTTCTAAGATTAATGGCCAACATGACTATCGAGCCAAACATATGTTATGGACAACAATCCGAGGCGACTGCTGCTGGCTAATTATCCGAGGACTAGATTTGTTCATCACTTTGTAATGTAAAATTGTGCCATTGTAAAGTGTATATTTCATTTTGCTAGTAGTGCAAATTTTTTTTTTGCAAAACAGAAAGATTTTTGTAACCAGAAATCAGAATGCAAGCTGGTGTGGTATTTTAGGACGCGTTTGGTAACATTTTCGTTTTTTTTTATAAAAAAAAACTAATTTTTGATTTTTTGGTGATAAAAATTGAAAATATAATATATGTTTAATAGTCATTTATATTTAAAAAATTATATAAAAAAATATGTTTGATATTATACTAAAAATCTACCATCTAACACCACCAAAACCCGTCATCATCAACCACCTAACACCACCAACCACCCAACTCCACCGAAACACTACAAAAACCCACCACCCAACCCTCTTGCAAAATCCACCACCACCAAACACTCAACATTCAACCATCAAAATCCACTCCCACAACCCCCTTGCACCACTCCTGAAATCCACTACCCTCGAATCCCATCACCCAAACCTCTGCAGGACCCCAGAAGCCACCACCACCACACTCTAAAACCAACCACCCAACCCCTAGTAAAACCCAAACAAGAAAAACATAGAAGGGTGAGAGAGAGAGAGAGAGGTGAAAAAAAAGGGAAGTGAAGAGGGGAGGAGATTTTTTCACTCAAGTAAAAAAATCTATTTTTTATTGCTAAGGAAGATTGAAGTCAGGATCTCATTAAATCCCATTTTGAAATTGCACATGTGTTTTTTTTTTTTATATGTTTTCAAGAACATCATTTTAGATGTATACATATTTTGACCTTGTTTTCAAATTTGAGCAGTAAAAAAGACGACAACATTTACCAAACACATTTTTTTTTATTTTTTCCAAAAAATAAAAACAAAAACAAACAAAAAAACAAAATATGATACTATAATCTATTTGAAGCACAAGACCATCAATGACAATGTTCATTGTGTTTAAAGTGCTGGGTGTCAAAATATGATATGACACGGAATTAAATAGTTTAGATATTTTTTAAGTCATCTATTTTCGTAAATGAGTGGACCCGATACGACATGATTAATAAACGACTCAGGTATAAATGAAGTATTTTTTGATACAAATCTATTAAAATTCGACATAAACCCACTTTACTCGACACAATTAACTGACTTAGTCTATTATGTTTTGTCAACTTGGATTGAAGGAGATGACACACGCAATGCACGTGCATTATTTTGATTTGTTGAAATTTAACTAGGAGCTTGAATCGAGTCAACTATTTGTATTTTGCTTAGATCACGTCATTTTTTGATATAGGTATGAGTAATGCTGGATAAACTTAAAAATTAATAGGTCCTAATAAATGTCGAGATCCATAGTGAAATCAATGGTTATAATTATCAAGTCTAATTTTTAAGTCTATTTTTTAAATTCATGTAGCATTATTCTTTAGTTATTCAATTATAATTCAATCTATTTAATAAAACATAAAAACATTTACATTTTGACCCCCCTCTAATACTCCCTTTGTCTCACATTTTTTATATTGTACCTCCACCTATAATTTATTGATTTATGTTGCTCCCTTAATTATAATGTTTATCATATTACACATCCAATTATGATTACATATTTTGTAATGTTCCAATTGTATTTTACTAAATGTTTGACTTTTTTCATTCAAGCACATGATGTTCGCTTTTTGTACAACTAGTTATTACATGTGCCTGAAGATATAGAATAATAAAAAAAATTATCAACAATAAATATATTTGTATTCACATCTAAAATCAAATCATAAATATAAAGGAGAGGGAACGGAATTTAAGCACTAATTATAATGAGAATGAGCGATGGTAGTGGTGATGGGTGGTAGTGGCGGTGGCGCAGTGGTGATGTCGGTGGTGGTGGTGGTGGTAGTGGTGATGGTCGTGAGAGGTGGTGGTGAAATAATAGGGTCAACGGTGGTAGAGGTGATGGTTTGACAGTGGCGGCGATTGTAGCGTAGTGGTGGGGGTGGAGGTGACGATTGTTATGGTGATAGGGATAGTGGGGATGGTGGTGGTTGGGCAATAGGGGGTGGTGGTGATGGTTTTTGTGGCAGAGGTGGTGACGGTGGTAGGACAGTGGCAGTGGTGGAGGGGTGACAACAGTGGTGGTGGTAGGGGGTGGTATGGTAACGATAGCAATGGTGATGGTAACGGGCGGAGGGGGTGGTCGTAGTGGTGATGGTGGTGGTGGTGGTGGTTGTGGGGGTAACGAGTAGTAGTTGTAGTGGTGATAATGGTGGAGGGTAGTTTGGTTGTGGGGGTGGGGTGGCAGTGATGGTGGTAATAGTAATGGTGGTGGGGCGATGGTGGTAGTGGAGTAATTTCAAACACTATTTTTTTAAAAAGTATTCATGATAAATTATAAGTATTAAAAGCACTTTTAAAAAATAACCCTAAACACACCCTTAGAGGGACCTATTTTTCCTATTAAATTTAAATTGTTAATATTAGTCGTCAAATTAACTTTAAAATAAAATTAAAAGAGATCTCAATTGCAAATAAAAAAAATCATTTTGTTTATCTTTTGATATTTAAATTGTATTATACTTTATTATATAGATTGGTTATTGCTTGTACTTGAAGGCACAAAATAATAAAAAATGGTAAATAATAAACATATTTGTATTCATATCTAAAATCAAATCACAAACATAGAAGAGAGATAAATGAATTTAAGTATCAATTTGCAGTGGGGGTGAGAGGTGGTGGGCTGTAGTGGTGGTTGTAGGAGACGGTGATGGTTGTAGTGGGTGACAATGATCGTGGTGGCGGTGGTGGTGGTTACGGCGGCGATGGTGGTGGTTGCGGCGATGATGGTGATGGCGGCAGCGACGGCTATGGTGGTGGCGGTGGTGGCAACGATGGCGTCGGTGGTGGTGGCGTTGGCGATAATGGTGGTGGCAGCGGCAACAGTGGTGGTAGTAGAGGTAGTGATAGTAGGGGTAATGACGGTAGAGGTAGTGTTGGAACGATTTCAAACACTTTTTTTTTTAAAGTACATATGAGAAATAATTTGTAGAAGTACTTTTAAAAAGTCATTCTAAATACACCCTTAGGGGCATATTTTTCTTATTAAATTTAGGGTATTAATATTAGCTGTTAAATTAATTTTAAAGTAATATTTAAAGTGATCTGAACTGCGAAAAATAAAAGTTATTTTATTTATTTTTTAAAATTTAAATTATAATCTATTTTATTATATAGATGTAAATTAATTCAAATACTTAAAGAGGCAACCTGAAAAATTTAATAATTAGGAGAATAAAGTGAGATTGAGATCATAGATAACGGACATGGGGCTTGAATTTGACCAAATCAAAAACTATCAAGAGCTAAGAGTCTGGCCTAATTCGGAGACCAGCCCGAATAATCCGGCCCATTTTCGGTTACGACACAATTAAATAGTCCATCTCGAGTAGGAGAAGGGTATTTTGGTAATTCAGCTACTATACATTGATCAGCGATTATATCTCTCCCATTTCACAACCCTACTCAGCAGCCGCACAAGCCTCTCATCCCTGCGCTTCCAGGTTTGTCCTCAATCTCTTTCGATTCGGACTTGTTTTAGGGTTTCTAGATGAGCTAACAATCATTCTTTCAGCACCAACACATATGTTTATATACGTATATATCTTTTTGTATAAATATATTTTTTGAGGTTGTAGTATAGAGCTTATCCAATGTCAATTTTCTGATTGTGATCTGAATGATTTTTTTTACGTTGTAGAAGTGATCATCAATGGCTCCTGCTAAAGGTATGTGTTACTAATGAACCTCTATTTGAGTTATAATTATGTTTGTTTGTATATATGTATGTGTGTGGTAAACCTGGTAACATTTTGTATAGCAATGTTTGTTTGTATATATGTATTTGTGTGGTAAACCTGGTAACACTTTGTAGCATAAGTGACCGTATGTAGTGTCTTCAATTCGACTTGTGGGAATTTTGTTGCTTAATCAATATCGAGTTGTTGGGTTCCTCTTGTAACTTTGACTGTGTTAGCACATTTGATTTCAATAAGGAAGGACGCTTATTATGAATAAGATAGTTGGTGCCTTATCTTATTGGCGTAGAAGCTACCTCATCTAAAATTAAATGAATGGACCAATGATGGATTTCACGCTACAGAATGAATTGAGGTCAAGAAACCTATCTTGCTAATAATAAGAAAGGGGTGAAAGCGCGCTAGGGTTGACTACTAGAGGGTAGACGGAAAATCTTCCACTTTTTGGGTTGTCATGCTATGAAAGGCACATGAAGGTGAAAAGGGTGTTAATAATGCTTTGGTGCCAAACTTCCCACTTAAGTTAGTTGGCGTTGGTTAGATAAAAAGCAAATTCACATTTTTAAAAGGAGTTCGTACCTTGTGTTTTGAATAGCTTTCAATGTGTGCAAACGCAAACTTCCATGGTGATAATTTAGTTACAGAGGAACTCGCATAGTGATAAGTACAGAAAGGAGAAAAAAAAGCTTTGTATTACTTCTATTAAACATAAATACTCATCTCTGAAGTGGAAATGTAAAAGTTGTTGGAACAATTGAAGGCCTTTTTAGCCATAGAATCCAAACCTGAGATAAGGATAGATCGGCGTTTTGAAAAGCTCGCCTNAAATGTAAAAGTTGTTGGAACAATTGAAGGCCTTTTTAGCCATAGAATCCAAACCTGCGATAAGGATAGATCAGCGTTTTGAAAAGCTCGCCTAGGCGAGGCGAGGCGAGGCGAGGCGAGGCGAGGCGAGCTTATCTCGCCTGGAGGACCCCAGGCGAAGTGAACGTGAGCGAAGCGAGAAAAAGTGAAGAAGCGAAAAAAGCGAAAAAACGAACGCTTTATTATAAGAGGCGATTTTGTTCCCCCTTTTTTTTTTTTCTGATCACAAGTTAGTAGTCTCTTTTATTTTTTAATCACTGATGACTTTTTTTCAGACTATCGCTGGTCTATTTTTTTTTTTTGATAAGCAATGTTCCAAACAAAACACATTCATTTTTTTTTCTTATGTTGCCGAATTCATTTAGAATATTTGTGGGATGTGGGAGTCAGGACTGCATGGCAAAATTATGATAAAGAAAGGAAGCAGGAGTATCAGGAATGAGGGTAAATAATAGAGTCTTCCACAAAGAACTGTCTCTGATATGTCTTGGTTATACTTTTCTCTTTTCTTATATATATACAAATGATACCAAAAAGTGGTCTATGCTTATACCATGTTTAATTATTTTAGTACATGTGAAATGTGCCGCTGTTCTACTTTTTTTATTCAGTACATAATTACGTATGAAATTGTTTATAATTAATTCTGCTCTTGTCATGATCATTGTGCTTCTGTTTTTTTTTTTTTAGCTCATTCTGCTTCTATTTTTTTTTGCTGATTCTGTTGCTGCTTCGGTTTTGCTGTCCTGTGTTACTAATGTTTTTTTTTTATTCTCATTCTGCTTTTTTTTTTTTTGTTGCTGATTCTGCTGCTGTCCTGATCCTGTTTCTTTTGTTGTCCTACCCTGTCAATATGAATATGTATACAATTATTAGTATTTGTTTGAATTTAAATGTTTAAGTTATGACTGTTATTAAGATTTGAGATATTATTAATGTTTGTTTTAATTTAAATGTTTATGGTTTTACTTGTATTTAAATATTTAGTATATATAAAATTAGAACTTAGATTGTTTAGAAGTAATTAAACTAAAATATATATTTTTTTAACTGTTCGCTTTGCTTCAGTAAAGCGTGTCGCTTTGCTTCTCGCTTCTCGCCTAGGCGTTAGGAGCCTTGGTCGCTTCGGTTCGATTATCTCGCCTTAAATAACACTGGGATAGATGCTGTATAATTAAATTTTTGTAGCTTCTATAAATGTGGTACAACTTTTTCTTGTGGGTCTACCATGTAGGAGAAATTATTCTACTTTTTTTATTGGTTGGCTCGAAGATATGCTTTGTTTTAATTTTTTCTATCTTGTGAATTTTATAAGATCCTAAGTGTAAAGAAAATGTTTGATGTTTTCATGGATTACCCTTTACGGGTTCTTAATCAATAACATAGGTTAGGCAGAAAAATGGCATACAGTGACATCAATTATCACCACGGTGTTGTATCCATGCTTTTGAAGAGCAAAGGGTCAACTGTTTTTATTATTGATTTTGTAAAAAAGGTGCTTTTTGATAGTATTGTGAACCTCTGCATTTCTGTTGGGATTTGCCTTTGTTGTCCTGGCATTTCTGTTGGGATTTACCTTTTTGTTGTCCTGGCATTTCTGTGAAACAAGATGTGATTGGTAGTTCAAATAATTTACTTTTGTAAGATTCTAATTAACAGAATTTGCATTGTGCAAAGAAAGTAATTGATCTTGATGCTTACCTTACCTTTCACAATCTTTAAATTGATATTGGTTAGGCAGAAAATGACATACTATACTCAATAGCCCTTTCAGAGAAGCATACATACTCATTTTTACTGCTTGATTTTCTAAAATTGGTGATTTTTGATATTGTTGATCGTGAACTTCTGCATTTCTATTGGGATTTATCCTTGTATTTCTGTGAAACAATGCCTCACTGGTTTTTGCCTTGCTCTTATGCCTACTTAAGCTTTTCCTCTGTTGCAGTTGACAGTACGAAAAAGGCTGATCCAAAGGCTCAGGCCTTGAAAGCTGCCAAGGCAGTGAAATCAGGTTCATCAACCTTCAAGAAGAAGGCTAAGAAGATCCGGACAAAGGTTACCTTTCACCGCCCGAAGACATTGAAGAAGGATAGGAACCCCAAGTATCCACGCATCAGTGCACCTCCAAGGAACAAGTTGGACCATTACCAAATTCTCAAATATCCACTGACTACCGAGTCTGCTATGAAGAAGATCGAGGACAATAACACCTTGGTTTTTATTGTTGACATTCGTGCTGACAAGAAGAAGATTAAGGATGCTGTGAAGAAGATGTACGAAATTCAGACCAAGAAAGTGAACACCTTGATCAGGTATACATCACTAATTTACTCGGCGTTAACCTAGAATTTAGTTGGCTAAGATGCACTTCATCAACCTTTGTCAGCATATTGAACATGGCACTAATTTTCTTTAGTACGAGGGCTTACTAATATTTTGTGAAAGTCCTGCTGTTAAATTTTGGATTTTTTAAGTGGATGGCTCTGTCAGTGAAACAATTTTGCTTGTTTAGTAAACCACCTATGCAGAAATCAAATGGAGGACAAGGGTATCGATTGATATTCATATCTGTGTTTTTTAATCATTTTAGAGTTTAGTCAAGTCCTTTTTTATCATGTGGCAGATGTGGGTAATGTGTATTGTTTCCTCTTTCTGGTACCTAAAATAACTCATTTTGTGTTCTTGTGACGCAGGCCTGATGGAACCAAGAAGGCGTATGTTCGGTTGACACCAGACTATGATGCATTAGATGTGGCAAACAAGATTGGAATTATCTAAGATATATGTAATTTGTCAATTTGTCTTGAGAAAAAATTCTATTGATACTGTTTTGACAGTTTTGTTAGTTTGTTGGTCTTTAATGCTATTGCAGTTTCAAAATGGTAATCTTGTATGTCATGTTAGAATTCGAACGTGGATACAATGGCAATGTGACACACTAGGTTTTTCTTGCTATTTATAGTTCATGTGGTGAATGGTCATTGTCCTGTGTTGGTTTGTATCACCTTTTCATTTTTTTTTTGTCATTTCTATTAATCTTGCATGTGATTTTATATTTTGGTCATGGTACTTCTTTGGCAATGGGATGCACTGTAAGTTTTGCCTACCATTCTAGTTCATGTGATGACTAGTTTTTATGCCATGCTTTGGTTTGTTGCACCTTCTTAATTTTGTCATTTGTATGATGAAATTATTGTTGGGAAAAGAGCCGAAGAAATTCACAAAACAGATCACACTGTTTACTATAGAAATTGTGTGAGCTGTTTCAAAGACAACTTCAAATACATTTCCATGCTTACCCAAACCTGAAATGTACATCTTCACCATGCTTATCCTTCTCAATTCTCATAATGGGATGGTGTGGTTTTAGATTGAGTTGAATTCAATCCTTCGCTGTGATTGAGATTTTGATTATTTGGCCAGCCTCTCAAAAATTTCTTCAAGTTTTGTTTATCTGTGTGCCTACTTAGATAATGGGTGATATAATCTAGTTTTGCTGTATGGTGTTCTGATTTGGAAAAGTTATGTCTTTGCACTGAAATTCCTGCTGGCACTATCATTTTGTTTGTTGCTCGTGTTTGTGCTTTGACCTAAAAATACTTCAGGCACTTGTAGAGTAGTTGATGTCCGGGTGCCACAAAGTTTGGGACGATTATCATTCCATTTCTTGAAGTTGAGACTAGGTTTCCAAATTTCTAAGACCCGTTCTTGCCAAATTCTTTCCGGCCTGATTCAGGAAAGTTTGTTATGCAAGACCAGGGTTTGATGTACAACAAATGTTCTTCGTGAGTGTTTTTTAACTTAGTACCCAGAATTCTACCTATGTCCCAGACTCTTTTTGAGTTCTGAGATTGGAAACAGTCCATAGGATTTTGGATCTAGAGTTTGGGAATAAATTGTTGATGGTTGGCTGGTTGTTAATGACCTCTTCGAATGCTAGATAAGACTGCGTAAATTTTACCCTCTTTAGTTCTTGTAGTGACGAAAATCTCATGTATTGGTTCACTTTTTTCTTTTTGGTATAAGTGGTCTCTCTCCTGTTTTTAGCAGTTGCATTCATCCAAGCCATTGGCATACGAGTCAAGGCAGTACCTGCAGAGTTATGATTGGCATTCAGTAGCTTCACAGGCCATGGCTCCCATCTTTTTCACTTGCTGATAGAAGATCCCTTTACTCCCATGGCAACACAGAACAATGGCTCCAGAGGAAAGGGTAGGGGACAACAATGGCGTCACATCTTATCATAAAAGGATATAAAGTAAGTTGCCCAGATATTCATGGCCTCTGCTGTTTTTTTTTTCTTTCTCAATGTTGTCAAGCATAACATAGAGTTGAAACTTTTTCCATCAGCGGTGTGTCCATGGGGTTAGAAATGGCTTTCTTTTTTGGGTGTGCATGTGCGTGCAGGCGTGTGGGTCAGGATTGAGCTCATGATATATGGTTTATTATGGGTTTGGTTAACCAATGCGTTGTTTGGTAATACACTCGAAAAGTCACAATCCAACTTAGATACGTTACGAATCAATTGACACCACTAGCATTGCTAACACTAAACATGAGAAAACCTTGATAACTTGCATACGGTTTGATAATGTTTATAACGTAGTTTTTTAATAAGATGAATTTCATTATATAAAAAAAATATATATTCGATTACCATATGACCAAGGTAGTATATGAATTTTAATTGAAAAACAATACACTTACATATATTTATATCTACACTACTAATAAAAGTACCTTAACATAAATTTTTTTTGATTATCTATTTTATATTTATAAAAAATTACAATGATCATTCTACCCGTTCACAATTAAATATCTAAATCATCTATTATTTTTTTATGCATTTAAATCTCTAAATCATCTCTAACATCTTTTTTAATTATCTGTATATTCTCTCTGTATAAATATCAATTTATATGAAACTTTTTGATTGACTATATTATCTTTAAAAAATATACTTCATTATATTTTCAATAAAGTTTTAATTTTTTTTTTAAAAACTCCATTAATTTAATATTACTTATCTCAAATGCAAAAATAACATTTTCAACACGTATGCTTATTTTTTATTTCATTAAAAAATTTAACCTTTTCATTTCTAAGATACAAAAATAATTGTATATATATATTTTTAAATTGACTATATTATTTTTAAAAAATATGCATCATTATATTTTCAATAAAGTGTTAAAAAAACTTCAAAAACTCTATTAATCTAATATTACTCATCTCATATGCAAATATAACATTTTTAGCACATGTTTATTTTATTTTCATTAAAAAAATTTAACCCTTTCAATTCTAAGATAAAAAATAATTTTATATATATACTTTTTTAAAATTAATTTATGCTACATCAATATAATTTTTCAGTTACAATAAACTTTTTAAGTTGTATTAAGATTTTAAGTGAAATACTTTGTAGTGTATTCTTAAATAAAACTTAATTTTAAAATTTTGATATGTTTTAAAATATATATTATAGAGTAGTATATTAAATTTTATCTTAATTGATCTAACCAATACTTAATAACAGTAAAGTTCTAATATGAGTAGTATATTAACAATTACTTTAATTTTATTCAAATTCAAATAATTATAAGTGGAATCCTAATCGAAAGAATTTCAAAAATTTTAATTTCTCAAATATCACTAAAAAAACATTCTTAATCACAAAATTATAAAAAAAAAAAAAATAGAATTTTAACTAGTTTTTCTATCTTTTTTCTTATAGTTAGAACAATGATTTTTGAGAATGTACAAATTTTTTCATAATACTATAATAAAATATGGGTAAAAAAGAATTAAGTTTGATAAATTTAAGATAATATTTAATTCATATATATATACACATACATACATACATACTAATATGTTATATTAATTTTTATGTACAAAATTATTTATGTACAATGCATGTGATGTATTGCTATTATTACATATTATTAACTTGGAAGAAGGGAGTAAGTCGGGACAAGAAAAAAGCAAAAAATAAATATACAAAAATAAGCAATACCCAAAAAAAAAGAAGAAAAAAAAAAAACTTAAGAAAGGTGTTACCAAACGATTCCTTCGATGGCTGCCATAGACCATTTTTCATTCTCTATGACCCCCTTTTCATTTTTGTATACTATTTGAAACAGGCAGGAAGTTTCAAGATGTGCATATTCTAGCAAAATCCTTAGACAAAGACATTGAAAGATACTTCATTATGTTTTCTTTATGGATCAAACATTGGTTTTCCTAAAATCAAAAGTTAATGAGAATTATACCAATTATAATATAACCATCAATATGAATGACCCTCTAACTCGGGTTGAATCACGGGCTTACTCGTAGAGGGATAAATTGTTTAAATAAGTCTTTAGTGAGGTCAATTATGAGTAAAAAAAATAAAAATTAGAGAATCGAACTTTATATAACTATGAGAATCACTTAATATATATTGTATGGTCTATTTTTTTTTTGAAATTTCCCTAGATTCTCATACCCAATTATCTTAGGTTCAACATTTTTTATATTTTCTAAGGACCAACCAGTCTTATTCTTTAAGAGACATGTTCTAAACTTGTTCGTGTTACTATAACCAACATCTCAATTCGAGGAAATAATCGACACAAAACTAAAAACCCTCGTAGCAAAAAAACAGAAGAAGTGAATTTTACTTCATCTACGGAAGTTCTTATTCTTGTCCTTAAACATCAGAGATTGCCTATGAGAATCATGTCTTTGATTTGGACTTTTCCATAAATGTCAAATTATGTTTTTTTTTTTCCACCAGTTTCATAAAATCACGTGGTTGGTAAACAGACAACAACAAAAGATAGTCCGAAACTAAGGATTTGATCAGGTGTATTTTCCAATTCAAAGTGTTTTGAACTTGAAATTTCAACATTGAAATTTTTCTTGGGGCATCCATCTATCTACCCAAATAAACAAAAAGCAAATTCCACCAAAAAGGCGAGAGAGAGAGAGAGAGAGAGAGAGAGAGAGAGAGAGAGGGGGAACAGATAAAATGCACTGGCTCCAAAAAGCACCCACAGCCACAATGATGCCCCCCCTGCATGTGTACAGTTAGATTATATTGGATTTGAATTTCTTCTGCTACATTATTTTTAATTTTTTTAATAATAAATTATTTACTATAAATTTAAATAATGATCTCAAAAGATCATCTTTAAAAGTGTGGCGGAAAAGAGAGTCGAACGACTGACTTGTCAATTCAAAAAAAAAAAAAAGTTCAATCGTTTTCAAATGGCCTCAACTTTTTGAAAAAGTTTTATGATTGACTATAACTCTGATTCGTTTATTAATTATGTCGCGTCGAATCCACATGACACGATCCGTTTACATTAACCAAAGTTAAAAAAGTTTTGATTAATGTAAACGGATCGTGTCATATTTAATTGCCCCTTCAATCCCATAATTAGAGTTGGGATCATTAAATTTAAAGAAAATTTGATTCAAATAATTTGTAGCTTGTAAATTACCAAAAACACCCTCAAATTCTCACAGCTGAGCTGTATTCCCACCACTCCAACACCCAGCACCCTTTCCAACAAATGCAAACCAACACTCATTTACTTTTATAAAACGCCGACGGCGACAATCACACGCTGTTTTGATGTCACTTCCTGAAAGAAACGACGCCGTTCTACAGCAAAGAAGAAGGTTCTTCTCTTTCCCGTCCTGCCTTCTTTGACTGAGTCAACCAGCGAGTCTCTTCAACGGCTCATTATTGTTTACTCAAAAACCGTCCCAAATCCATACAAAAGAATCGGAGAAAGAAACCGAAATTCAGTTCCAATTTCCACTGAAAACTTCGGCGATCTTTCTCTCTCCTAGGGTTTTGACAGTGGTTTTTAGAGATGATGATATCCAGAGGGTTGTTCGGGTGGTCCCCGCCGCATATACAGCCTTTAACTCCGGTATCGGAGGTGTCAGAACCGCCGGAGTCTCCGTCGCCATATCTAGACACAAGCGCCGAGGGGGTGGCGGTGGAGGTGGAGGAGGAGATCGACGCTGAGGCCGAGGAGATGGAGCAGCCACCCGCCGCCGTCCCGTTCTCGCGGCTCTTCGCCTGCGCAGACCGCCTTGATTGGGCTCTTATGTTCGTTGGATCGCTTGCGGCTGCGTCCCATGGGACTGCTCTGGTGGTTTACTTGCATTACTTCGCGAAGATAATTCAGTTATTGAGGCATACGTCGGAACAGTCAGATGTGCTGTTTCACGAGTTCACTGAGGTACTTTTTGGAAGCCGTAGTGTTAGATTTCTCGATTAGGATAACACTTTAATGGTATATTGTTTTAGTCATATGTTTTAGAAACATTTCTATTGTATGTATTGGGTGGAGACTTTGTCTAATCGAAAACTAGTAGGCCTTGTGTGTATTGGACTGGTTATGGAATTGGGTGAGGACTGTTTTATTGGGTATAGTTAGTAAGCATGATTTGAAGTTCAAATTTGAAAGGATGTTAGGTGTGTGGTGAGCATCCAGGGATTGATTTTTGGGTGAATGTGGAGGACAGAGTTTAAATTGACTTGATGCTGAAATTATAGCGGGCTTGCGATGCTTCTATTCTAAACTATGTAATGAATCATGTAATTTAGGGCAATTTCATTGGATTGGGAGAAGTCGGGTGATGAGCAGAGTGTAAGGTTTACTTGTTTTTTTTTTTGTTCGGATTAATTCCAGACTTGGCTTAAAGTTATGCCGTGTTTGGCAATGTGGAATTCATGGCTTGGAATTAGAATTGAAGATCACATTAGTTCGGATTCAAGTAAGTTTTCATCCAATCCCAATTTGAATTTATTTCTGTGCTGCCAAAGACAATTGTAACATGGAAGTTGGCAGTTGAGGTTTATTTATTTGGGGAATTATGAACAAATAAAAGTGAACTTTTGAATAAGACTGATTGAAGTTTACTGGGAAGGTATTATAGTTTGCCAAATAGGTTACTTAGCAGGTAGATGGTTTGTCCTTTGCATCGCTATGTATACACTCTAGCTGGGATCTTTTTTAGCCATTTATGTTTTAGTGTGGATTGGCTATTACTTGGCTATCTTAAAGCCTTAGTTACCATCCAGTGTGGTTTGTTCAGTTATGGGGTTCTAGTATGTTGAGGTTTGGCGGATAGGTTTGATGGAGGCAGGCATCTCCATGAAATGTGAAGCATGCAGTTCAGGGAGGAAAAGACTTGGTAGCAGTTGGTTTGTCAACCTGCCAATTATGTAGGAAAAAAGGACGTGATGCAATATATGGGTGTTTGTTTCTGATTTGCCTTTTGTTTTCTGGTGTAGAGGGTTGGCAGATTGAGATAAGGTATAAAATTCGTAGGCAGTGATTGTTAATGTTAAAGGCGGTGTCTTTGGCTGTCACTTATCACAGCCCTTCCATTTTTCTAGGTAATCAAATTTGGAAGCCAACTGAATGGGAGAAGTGCAAATATGCAAAAAATAGGGCAGAAAATGTGATATTGTTGAATAAGATAGGTGTAAATAACCATACTTTGTCATGTGAAGTTTAATTTAACTTCAGTTCTATTGAACTTGTGTCGAGCTTGGGTTCAGTTGTGCTCATGCTGGGCTTAGTGTTGCTTTCTCCGTTTGGGTTACAGCTGTAATTATGACTATTTGTTACGGGAGACATTAATATTGCTATTAGTTTTGATTGTTCTCTCTCTCTGTTGCGTGTGTTTGTTCAGGAGAGGGGTGTGGTGGGTTGATGGCTATGTTTCTTTTTATGCTTATGCTAGTGCTAGTTGTGGATTCTACTCTTGAAATAAAATAAGCACATCCTTAAGCTAATGGATATAATTGCCTGTATAGCTACCTTGTTACGAGAAAAATGTTAACTAAGTAAAATGGTCTGTATCAGGGAGAACTGAATAATAATGTTTTGAAACCATGAAACATGGGAGTGGTTTTGTGTGTTGGGTTTTTTGTTTTGGCTGGGGGTTGGGTTTTTTTTTTTTTTTTTTTGGGGGGGGGGGGGGGGTTGGTGGTCGTCTCATCTCCTAATCTCCTTTGATCCAGATCTTGTAGAGTTGCTATAAGGTGTGTAAACGAGGTTGTAAGGTCTTCCTGAATTCATTGCTTGCAATGGAAAGTCACGACGTAGTAACAACAGGTTCTTCAAGAACTTAGGTAGCAGTGCCTCTTAGGTTAATAGGGACTTTTAACAACACCAACCAGTTGTTGGAAATATAAATTATTGTGTGTTTTCTGGTAAGTGTGGTTGATTTCTCGTAAGTATATGTAGAGAGACTTTCACTGTTCAATTGCCACTGAAAAGATGTACTGAAATGTGCTCTAAAATCCAAGTTTTATTAGGAAATTTATCCCAAAATGTAAATCATCAACTTGAAACTTTGTTAGAAATTCAGCAGCAAAATTTTTGGCTCTTAACTTTTAGGTTTATAAAATATCTCCCAGCTACTTAATGCTTACAGAATTGACAAAAAAAAGAGAAGAACAGGTAGTAGTTATCCCACTGAACTGAAGTAAGGAGGTTCCCTAAAGACTTGATGGCTGTGTATTTTTTTGAGAGGTAGTGAAAACTTTTAAGATGAAAGGGATAGTGTAGTGGATGAGGAATCCACCCAAGGAAAAGATAACAAAATAAGAAAGGAACATACATCATAAAAAGTTAAATCATCAAAGAACTGAGGTGGTGATCATCCAACAACAGTCGCTATCCAAACAATATTTATTGCAAACAAGGACACATCATTAAACTTCTTTGCAGTCAACGCCCAAAGAAAAGTCAAGAACCTTATTCTCTCCCAAAGGACTTGCTTGTATTCTTCTTTATCTTTGAATATTCTCCAATTTCTTTCCTTCCTTACTACGCAAATTTTTTTGACATTTATCACACAATTCCACAAATTGATACTCTATAGCACTTTTCAAAAAATACCATAATGTGTCTCAAATAATGAAACACATTCACTTGGACTTAAAGGCTGCGCGACAAAAATTGATAATTGTGTGGCGAGAAATTTGTTAGTGAACTGGAACTTTTAAGTCGGAGAAATGATGTTATAGCATATGCCAACTCAAATTTGATTTAACACGATATTATATAAAGTTAAAACCACTTTGTAAATGCTAAATAAATATGCATTGTTTAGCCCACTTAATTGGAAATTATTGGAACTTTTAAATTCTTCAAACTCTTAAATGATTTTATAAACATTTTCCAGATTTCTTATTCGATCTAGGAAACTTGCTCTGCAGCCCAGCCCAACACTTAAAAAAATAACGGTACCTTTGTGCTCACTTGATTAAGTTTGAGTCTAATAAACCTTCAACTAGGAAATTTTTCAGTTTCATGCCAAAATTTTTTGTGTTGTACCCACTTAGGTTGTGGTATCGTTAATTTGATAGTTGTTTGTGCGTTCACAACTCAACTTTATTAGAAGATTGAAGTTTTTAAGTCACTAAAACTAAACAAATAAGTGACTATTCTGTTCTTATTCATGGGTGTAGCTGAGTGAAGGTTGATAAAGTTTGCCAGGTTCAATAGGGGAGTCCACGCTCAGATGTACACAGATTGTTTGCCCTATTTTCTCTCACTTTTAGGAGTTTTTGACATTTTTAATGAGAAAAGAGTTCAAACCTAAGCATGATATTTGGTTTGTACAGTCGTGCTTTGAGCACTAAGAGTGAATTCTTTGGGGTCATGGCAAAGCCTGCTTTTTGTGGCTCAACTTTCTTAGAAATTCTATGGGGCTAATAGAGGCTTTGGACANAGAGGTAGTGAAAACTTTTAAGATGAAAGGGATAGTGTAGTGGATGAGGAATCCACCCAAGGAAAAGATAACAAAATAAGAAAGGAACATACATCATAAAAAGTTAAATCATCAAAGAACTGAGGTGGTGATCATCCAACAACAGTCGCTATCCAAACAATATTTATTGCAAACAAGGACACATCATTAAACTTCTTTGCAGTCAACGCCCAAAGAAAAGTCAAGAACCTTATTCTCTCCCAAAGGACTTGCTTGTATTCTTCTTTATCTTTGAATATTCTCCAATTTCTTTCCTTCCTTACTACGCAAATTTTTTTGACATTTATCACACAATTCCACAAATTGATACTCTATAGCACTTTTCAAAAAATACCATAATGTGTCTCAAATAATGAAACACATTCACTTGGACTTAAAGGCTGCGCGACAAAAATTGATAATTGTGTGGCGAGAAATTTGTTAGTGAACTGGAACTTTTAAGTCGGAGAAATGATGTTATAGCATATGCCAACTCAAATTTGATTTAACACGATATTATATAAAGTTAAAACCACTTTGTAAATGCTAAATAAATATGCATTGTTTAGCCCACTTAATTGGAAATTATTGGAACTTTTAAATTCTTCAAACTCTTAAATGATTTTATAAACATTTTCCAGATTTCTTATTCGATCTAGGAAACTTGCTCTGCAGCCCAGCCCAACACTTAAAAAAATAACGGTACCTTTGTGCTCACTTGATTAAGTTTGAGTCTAATAAACCTTCAACTAGGAAATTTTTCAGTTTCATGCCAAAATTTTTTGTGTTGTACCCACTTAGGTTGTGGTATCGTTAATTTGATAGTTGTTTGTGCGTTCACAACTCAACTTTATTAGAAGATTGAAGTTTTTAAGTCACTAAAACTAAACAAATAAGTGACTATTCTGTTCTTATTCATGGGTGTAGCTGAGTGAAGGTTGATAAAGTTTGCCAGGTTCAATAGGGGAGTCCACGCTCAGATGTACACAGATTGTTTGCCCTATTTTCTCTCACTTTTAGGAGTTTTTGACATTTTTAATGAGAAAAGAGTTCAAACCTAAGCATGATATTTGGTTTGTACAGTCGTGCTTTGAGCACTAAGAGTGAATTCTTTGGGGTCATGGCAAAGCCTGCTTTTTGTGGCTCAACTTTCTTAGAAATTCTATGGGGCTAATAGAGGCTTTGGACATAACGTTTGAGTTTTCCCCTGAAACTCTTGTGTGAGGGAGAGAGACCTAAGAACCCCCCCCCTCCCCCCCCCCCTTCTTCCGCCCCGGGGGGGGGGGGAAGGAGTCATAAACTTGAATGTGGTGGTAAGGTTAGCTAACATCAACAGAATTTGATAGACAAATAGAATGTAATTGCAGGGTTCTTATCGAGGAGGACTGGATGCAGGATGGTGTTAGTAGTAGTGGAGATCCATGTCTATGAGGTTTAACCCAAAGGAATTTAAGAAATAAAATCTTATTTAGCTTATGTCACCAATCTTTCCTTCCTGCTATTTGCTTTGAGCTTTCTGTGATAGTGGTGGGACTATTCCACTTTTAATGGGAGGGTAGTGTATGGAGGATAACTAGTCTCACATGTGCATCATGATACACTGTTGGAGTATTGGAGGAAAACTATTTAGGTTGAGATGCCTGATTGGAGGACAAGAACTGCCATGCTGATGTGCCAATGCTATCCATAACATGGAAAACATGCTACTTGCCCCATCCCTTTCAATCTCTCTCCCTCTCTCTTTAAGAAATGATTTGATAATCTGCAATGAGCCTTAGACTTAAGGTGCCAAGCCCCAGCCCCCCAGGATGCTAGTAGGACCGTCACACAATTTGGAGTTCACCACAATTGCTCACCAAGCTCAAGGAGCACCTTGTGCCTTGTTCTTGGTCCAAGCAAGTGTGAGTGTTTTAGGATGCATGCACATGTAAATGCATTTTGTGATTAAGGGGTCCCAATAGAAAACATTGTGTATATGGGCTATAGGGGAGCCATTGTGGACATAATTCATAGTTTGATTATCTTGGAGATGGACCATACAAGAGCCTTGATAGTGCCCTCAGGATCATGTCTACTGTCAAGCCATTGCCCATGCTAACCTTCTTTGGGACTGGAAAATACATATATTGATCATCTTTTCCTAAATTGCCTGGTTGTGATTATAATGGAGAGGTGTATGTTTGGTGGAATTGTGTTGGGTCTCACCATCTTCATGTGAATAAATGTTTGTGTTTGATTTTTGAGGTTTAGGGAGGAGCAAGAACACTCGCCCCCTTTGTAGATGTGAGGAGTTGGCAATCTTTTAGGTTGTATGGTTAATTCAAGAATCTTCGAAGTCAAGTTTGAGGAGATTGATTTGTTGGAAATAATTTGCTTCTTGCCTTTTTTTTTTTCGGGGATTTGGTTTCTCCTGATTTGTAGGAATTTCTTTATTCTTTATTAGGGAAGATGTAAGATTTGAATTCAAAATGTGGACTGAATTTTAATTTTTTTTCCAGTTTATTGAAGGACTCATTTGCCTTCATGTTATGACTTCTTATTAGTATTCATATCCATGTTGTTATTGAGAAAAAAAAATGGAAAATAAGCAGCTTGAGTGTTTGGCTTGTAGATTAACCAATTATGTTTGGAAAAAATATTAACCCAGACCAAGGAGATCCAGAGAGGAGCCCAGAGTATCACCGTCCATGTGTTATGAGGAGATTGCTCTAAATTAACAACTGATATTTTGTCAAATGTTTGCCACCATAAGTAGATTTTGGTTACATCCATTGAAGATATGGATGCAATGTCAATGTTTTTGGAGGGGACACATGGCTACCAGTGGTCGCATATCCACAATGCTATTTTATTAGGGTTAAGATGAACAAATTGTAAAGGTTGAATTGTTGTGGTTGAATGCTAAAAATTATTTAGGAACACTTGTTAGTACTCGGGCATGAACAAAACAACAGGAGATTCAAGGAAAAGTCAGATAAAGGACAGAGTAAGTGCAAATTGTTTCTACTTTGGATTTCTAACTACCATTGAATCCAAAAAGAAAAAAACAAAGAAAAATTATAGCTAGTGGAGGGGTGTTAGGTGGAACAGGTGCATCACTATTGTTGAGAATCCTAAGGTGCCCCATTCTTTTTTTGTCTCCCCGAAAATTCCCAAACAAAAGTACGTTGTTGTAATCTTCTCTTCTTCACTGTCTCTTCTTTCCAAAACTCTAAAACATAGTTCTACATTATAATCTGAGTATAGGAAGAAAGGCCTTCATATGGTGGTTGGAGTCGGCCAAAATATTCTCTGTTTTCTAAAAAGGAACTTGTATTTTTGACGGATGAAACATTACTTACTTTTAAAATTTTCTTGGTTGGTTCCAACTAATGGGTTTTGAATTGGAAGTTTTCCTTAGACAAACTGTACATTTGTTAAAATTGTGAGCAAAAATGTTTCTGTCTTTAATGTAATGAAACTTCAAATTGTTTATGTCAATTATGGTTTGCTATTCCAGCTGTACAGTGTAAACCGCCTATTTGTATTTGTATTTTTGTTTTGGGAGCTGGGTGTTTAAACTATGGTTGTCTATTTACCTTCCACCAGAAAATCATCACAGACCAACCGCCTCCCAACACTTTCTTGAATTCTCACTTTGACAAAACAGAGTAAGCATAGTAAAGTTTGCATTATCATGAACTTTGTGTTGTAGAACTTACTAATTTAGAAGATCTAATGGACTATTCTAGTCCAAGTTGTGTATCTCTGATTTTTTATAGTTTACTCTTAATGGTTCTTACCTTTCTATCTTGTAGCAGATTTTGATTTGTGACTTGATTTGTAAGTCCAAATATATTGTCAATTAACTGTGCTTTGTTTTTCTGCAGCTTGCTTTAACTATTGTTTATATTGCTGTGGGTGTCTTCGTTGCTGGTTGGATTGGTAAACCCGCATGTCTATACCATAAATTATTCCTACATTTCTTGTATTACCTTACGAGTAATGCTTTTTGCAGCCTCGATACTGACTAATTTCTTGTAATAGAGGTATCGTGTTGGATTCTTACCGGAGAACGGCAGACAGCTGTGATTAGGTCAAAGTATGTTCAAGTACTACTTAATCAAGACATGAGTTTTTTTGATACGTATGGGAACAATGGAGACATTGTGAGCCAAGTATTAAGTGATGTGCTGCTCATTCAGTCTGCTCTCAGTGAAAAAGTATGTTTCAGGTCTAAAAAGTTTCATTGTAGAGGGCTTCTTTTTAACTTACTTTTCTTAATGAAAATATTTTGGTTTCTCTGTTAATGTACCTTTGACATGACAGGTGGGAAATTATATTCATAACATGGCCACTTTCTTCAGTGGTCTTGTGATTGGATTTCTGAACTGTTGGCAGATTGCCCTCATAACTTTAGCCAGTGGCCCATTCATTGTTGCTGCAGGAGGTATATCAAATATATTTCTGCATAGGCTTGCTGAGAATATTCAAGATGCATATGCTGAAGCAGCAAGCATTGCTGAACAGGTTTTTCTTTCTCTCATTTGCCTTCATTCAGCTTCTTTCCACAGAAAACAATATGTTACTAAGTTCTCTTTGACGTTGTTGTTGATTGGTTTGGAATCTGCTAGGATCACATGTAGGTGGATTCTTGTAGAGTGCAAAGAACGAAGTGCTAAATAATACTTATACGAGTCTATTTGTTGTGGCTCTTCATTTGGGTTTTATTAAGATAAACGTTTGGGATGCCTGTGCTTTAGTTGGTGACTATGAGCATGGTTATTAATTGTACAAGATCTGGGTTAGTTTGTTAATAGTGGAGGCCAAGGGTATTGTTCTGATAACAGTACCTGAGAATACGTATGCAAGCTTGAAACAGAAAAAATAAGTGACGCCCTTTACTTTTCTTTATAAAATATATTTAAAACAACTAAATTATTTGTGAAAATATTATTTTGATATGCTCCAGCTAGTTTTTATTAGGACTTAAAAATTGGTTGCCTTCTATTTTATCGTGTAAGTGATATGCATAAGAATTTTTAAAGGAATCGGTGACACTCCTGGTTGTCACTCGTTTGTTCAACTCTACCTCAAAGAAATTTCTGGATTTGTTACAGTTTTGTCTTTTTAAATTTGTGAAATTTCCCTGAAAGTATAGAGAGATTTGAAATTAGACCTTGAATCTGGTAAACCATTTGTTCAGACTGGAGAATTCCCCCAATATTAATCATTTAATGCTGATGTCTTCAGGTTCTAGATTATCATTTTTAACTCATGGGAACCACTTATATTTCTGCCTCGTGACCTTACTTTACTTGACAGGTATATTTATATATGCATGTGTATATTTATGTATGAGAAACGTTATTCATGCACGCACACAATGTTTATTCTTGGCGTATGTACTCATTCAAAGGAAATATAGAGCCGTAATAATTATAGTAGTAGCACTATATCACCATTTTTCTTGAACTCCGAGGCATGCCATCTTGTACTTTTTCAAATTACATGGTGTCTTATGATGGACCTTCTTTACATTTTTTCTGGAGTTCCAGTTATGGAAATTGTTGTTTCCATGCGATCTTCCAAAAAGAATTGTTGTCTCCATGCCAGTACGTGTGTAACTTGCAAGTTTCTCTTATATTAGAACTCTTTCTTTTCTGAATGTGCAGGCAGTCTCTTATATTAGAACTTTATATGCATTTACAAACGAAACATTGGCCAAGTACTCTTATGCAACTTCACTGCAAGCTACACTGAGATATGGCATATTGATTAGTCTTGTGCAAGGACTTGGACTTGGATTTACATACGGGCTTGCAATTTGTTCCTGTGCCTTACAACTTTGGGTCGGAAGGTTCTTGGTCACACATGGCAAAGCTCATGGTGGTGAAATTGTAACAGCCCTATTTGCTGTAATCTTAAGTGGCCTGTAAGCATCTTTTTCTTACTTCTTGTTTCTGCCTCACATTTTTTTATTTTTCTTATCAAGGAAGGCTCTTGTTGTTTACAGTGGGCTGAATCAAGCGGCAACAAACTTCTATTCATTTGAGCAAGGCAGAATTGCTGCTTATAGACTTTTTGAGATGATCAGTCGTTCGTTCTCCACTGTCAATCATGATGGAAATACCCTTCTTTCTGTACAAGGAACCATTGAGTTTCGAAATGTTTATTTCAGCTATCTGTCCCGTCCTGAAATTCCTATCTTGAGTGGATTTTACCTCACTGTACCTGCTAAAAAAGCCGTGGCACTTGTTGGTAGAAATGGCTCTGGTAAAAGCAGTATTATACCGCTCATGGAACGTTTTTATGATCCTACATTAGGTAATACAACTTGTTATTAGTGGGTTGTGTTATTTCATTTTTCTCTGTTGCAACAATTATTGTACAAAAGAAAAGATGAGTCATCCTGTCTATCTGCAGATTCTAATGGTTTCTCCATTTTCGTGATGCAGGAGAAGTTCTTTTGGATGGAGAGAATATTAAGAACCTGAAAATGGAGTGGCTAAGAAGCCAAATTGGTTTAGTCACTCAGGAACCTGCCTTGCTAAGTTTGAGTATCCAAGACAACATTGCTTATGGACGGTCTGCTACTTTAGACCAGATTGAAGAAGCTGCTAAAATAGCACATGCACATACATTCATCAGTTCACTTGAGAAAGGCTATGAGACACAGGTAATTTAAAAACGAAAAAAATATTTTCTAGACCTTTATAGGTCTGTACATCTTTTTTATTATTTACATCTCCGTTTGCATTTTTATTCTGTTTGAAATGGTATTTCTTTTGTTTTTCAGGTGGGTAGGGCTGGTTTAGCATTGACAGATGAACAAAAAATAAAACTTTCTGTTGCTAGGGCAGTGCTGTCAAATCCATCCATTCTTCTACTTGATGAGGTTACTGGTGGACTTGATTTTGAAGCGGAAAGATCTGTACAGGGGGCTCTAGATCTCCTTATGTTAGGCCGATCAACAATAATAATAGCTCGACGGCTTAGTCTGATAAGGAATGCTGATTACATTGCTGTGATGGAAGAAGGTCAATTGGTAGAAATGGGTACACATGATGAATTAATAACTCTGGATGGCCTGTATGCAGAGCTTCTCAAATGTGAGGAAGCGGCAAAACTTCCGAGGAGGTATGGTAAAAGAGCAAATTTATGCTTTTGTTAAATATGGTTCCCTGGTGTCATCACAGTTCTGCATCATAAGTGTACATTTCTCGAGGCAATCATTTCTATTGTTTTTTGGGGGTGATAGCCTTAGTTTCCACTAATGTTTGATTGTTAAGCCTGAAAATACTTTGTTATATGCTAATGGGTTCTCTATTATCATTCAGGATGCCAATGAGAAACTACAAGGAGACAGCGACTTTCCAAATTGAAAAAGATTCTTCAGCAAGTCACAGTTTCCAAGAACTGCCATCTCCTAAAATGGCCAAATCTCCGTCTCTTCAGAGAGTTTCTGGCCTCCATGCCTTTCGGCCTCCAGATTCTACTTTCAACTCACAGGAATCCCCTAAAGTTCGGAGCCCTCCACCAGAGCAAATGATTGAAAACGGTGTGCCTTCCGATGCAAAGGATAAGGAACCATCAATAAAAAGACAGGATAGTTTTGAAATGAGACTACCAGAGTTACCCAAGATTGATGTCCCTGCTCATCGACAAACATCCAATGGTTCTGATCCTGAATCACCCGTCTCACCTCTCTTGACGTCTGATCCCAAAAATGAGCGTTCCCATTCGCAAACTTTTAGTCGGCCTCATAGCAAATTCGATGAGGTGTCAATGAAAATGAAAGAAGCAAAGGATACACAACATCGAGAAGCACCATCATTTTGGAGACTTGTAGAGCTTAGCTTAGCAGAGTGGCTTTATGCTGTTTTAGGAAGCATTGGGGCGGCCATTTTTGGTTCATTTAATCCTCTTCTTGCTTATGTTGTTGCACTGATAGTAACGGCGTATTATAGATCAGATGAAAAACATCATTTGCGGCAGGAAGTAGACAAGTGGTGCTTAATCATAGCCTGCATGGGTATTGTGACAGTGGTTGCTAACTTTTTGCAGCACTTTTACTTCGGTATAATGGGGGAGAAGATGACTGAACGCGTTAGGAGGATGATGTTTTCCGGTAACTGATGACTTTCCTGGAATAAAGTGTAGTTTTTCTAGTTTAAAATATAGTCATCACTCCTCCTTTATTGTGAATGCATAAGCTGTCCTTATTATCATGCTGTGAATGCTTACCAATTCTTTATAGCGGTTTGAAATATTTCCTCTGCTGGTACAGCAATGCTTCGCAATGAAGTTGGATGGTTTGATGAGGATGAGAACAGTGCCGATACCCTGTCCATGCGTTTGGCAAATGATGCTACTTTTGTCAGAGCTGCTTTTAGCAACCGGCTTTCAATATTTATACAGGACAGTGCAGCAGTTATTGTGGCTGTTCTTATTGGGATGCTACTACAATGGCAATTGGCGCTTGTTGCTTTGGCTACCTTGCCTATTCTTATTGTTTCTGCCATTGCTCAGGTTTGTACCTTTGCTACATTTTTGCTTTTCAGAGTAGTTTTCATTTTTTCACTGACTTTTGATTCGTTATCTTTCTCCGTTTATTTTCACAATTCATGAATGAATTAAGTGGAGATCCTTCACGTATGGTCATTCATTCAATCAGGTTTATGGGGCCCATTTTCAATCAAGCAGATGTGGACAAAAACTTGTAATTTTTTCAGTTTTAAGAAATTTTAAATGAGAAATAGTGCTTTCTGCGCGGATAGTTGTACACTAATGCATGAATCTTCATCTCACCTTTTGAGGTGCAAAGCTGAAAAACTTGCTCTATAAATCTCTATGGGCATGGCTTTTGCAAAGAGCTTGTATTTATCTCTTGGTTTTTGATATATGAATCAGGGTCCTCTATGGCTGATGATTGGCATGCTACATCTAGCTGAAAAGCGAATTGTCCTATTTTTCATTCAGTGGATTTGATAGTAGATAAGCTTGTCCTTAAAATTGGAGGAGTGCTTTCTTGATCCACATCTAGGGGCATACCTTAATACCTTTTTTGCTCTCTAAGAATCTCACTGTATCCATTGGGCTAGTCTATAATGACCTCATCACACAAAGATCATATGCAAGGACAATGATTTCATTTAATGCATATTGTATCAAAAAATCCGATGTGTTAAGAATGGAAATTGGGCCACTGGGGTTCTTTTTGGGAAGTAGGTCCACTTGAGTGCTATTTTATTGAATTCTCTCTACCTCTATGAATTGTTAATCCTGTAATTTGTCAACTTGGAGAATGTCTTCGGTATCTGTCACCTTGTCCTCCCCAGAATTATGAAACTTAGAGTAGGACATGGGTTTAGTTCCATATGATAATTTCTCTGTGATTGATCTTTATTTCCGTGAAATGCTTCCCAAGTTCACTATTATAAAAAGTGTACCTTAGTCCTTTTGACCCAGAACCCTGACTAGCTACTAACAAATTTTGCAGAAATTATGGCTTGCTGGATTCTCAAAGGGCATACAGGAGATGCACAGGAAAGCATCTTTGGTCCTTGAGGATGCAGTTAGAAATATTTACACCGTTGTTGCGTTTTGTGCCGGTAACAAAGTAATGGAGCTTTACAGGTTGCAACTACAGAAGATATTCAAGCAGAGCTTTTTTCTTGGAATGGCTATCGGTTTTGCCTTTGGCTTTTCACAGTTTCTTCTTTTTGCTTGCAATGCTCTACTCCTCTGGTACACTGCAACCTCTGTGAAAAATGGTTATATGGATCTGCCGACGGCTCTCAAGGAGTACATGGTGTTCTCTTTTGCAACATTTGCACTTGTGGAGCCTTTTGGCTTGGCTCCATATATACTTAAGAGAAAGAAATCCCTGACATCAGTATTTGAAATCATTGATCGATCACCAAAGATTGACCCCGATGAAAACTCTGCTCTGAAACCTCCTAATGTTTATGGGAGCATTGAGTTGAAAAATGTTGATTTTTCTTATCCAACTAGGCCAGAAATCTTGGTACTGAGCAATTTCAGTCTTAAAGTCAACGGGGGTCAAACAGTAGCAGTAGTTGGAGTCTCAGGATCTGGAAAAAGCACTATAATATCTTTGATAGAGAGATTTTATGATCCAGTTGCTGGTCAGGTTTCTCTAGATGGCAGGGATTTAAAACTGTACAACTTGAGATGGTTGAGGAACCATCTGGGTCTTGTTCAGCAGGAACCAGTTATCTTCTCAACGACCATAAGGGAAAATATCATATATGCAAGGCACAATGCAAGTGATGCTGAGATGAAAGAGGCAGCAAGGATAGCAAATGCTCACCATTTCATTAGCAGCTTGCCTAACGGTTATGACACACACGTTGGGATGCGGGGTGTGGATCTGACCCCAGGACAGAAACAAAGAATTGCAATTGCCCGGGTTGTTCTGAAGAATGCACCCATTTTGTTGTTGGATGAAGCAAGCTCATCTATTGAGTCCGAGTCGAGTCGAGTGGTACAGGAGGCTCTTGATACCCTCGTGATGGGAAACAAAACCACCATTCTGATTGCCCATAGAGCAGCTATGATGAGGCATGTTGACAATATTGTTGTACTTAATGGAGGTCGGATTGTTGAGGAAGGGACCCATGATTCATTGTTGGCGAAAAATGGCTTGTATGTCCGCTTGATGCAACCTCACTTTGGTAAGGGCTTGCGTCAGCATAGACTGGTTTAGGTAAGGTTTGTGATTGACTGTAAAATATATCTGTTCTTCATAGCCATTGGAAAGTCTGCCCATTTGTTGAAATACTGGCAATGTTGACAGCTCTCCGTTCTCAAATTTTGATTGCTGGGGCTTTCCAAAATGGGTAACATGAGCAAGGGCTTGTGAAAACCAACATCTAGCTTGGACAGAAGCAATTGTGGTTGCAGGTGCTGTGAGGTTAACTCCGAAGACTGTGGCAGTTAAATTCTGAGTGTTTAAGGTTGAGAAGTAGGTTTCACACAATTTGGTTAGCCTATGACAGTAGGCTTTCAGGGTTAGGTGCATATTCTTTTGGAGGCAAGCATCATAAGGTTAGAATAGTGCTTTGTCTTCATGGTATATTGATTTTTTTTTTTTTTTTTAAATTTTAGAAGGGAATAGTCTTCTTATGAGGTGGTGGTGCTGGAGGTTATATCCCTTTTATTCTCGGTGTGTGTTTGTGTGTGGTCAGTGAGCTTCTCCGACTCTAATGTTCTCTCACTCTTATTTCTCTTGGCGCGTCTTTCTCACCAATTTTCTTGCTGTATATCTTTCTTCTATTTGTGAAATCTATAGAAAGGACAAGGAAGAGAAAGTGAAGCATCTGTGGTGACATTTTGTATATAAACAGATCAAATGATTTAATCAGCTGTTTTGTTTTCATCTCCCCTGTGCAATTATTATTCAACTTATCGGCTGTCTTGTGTGCTCTTGCTTGCATAAAACTAACTTATTGAATGTTGGTGCTAGAAAGCTTGTATTTAGTCTTGGACGCCTAGCTGAAACAGATTTGGTGTCCCGCAATGCTAATGATTGGAAGTTCCTTTAAGCTCGAATGAGTGGACGTTGTAGACATTGCAATGATAAGAGTTTTGTGCATTGAACTGGCTCTTTTTCAGCTCTATTCACTTTTCTAGTACTCTGGTTTGTTTGTAATGAAAATGAAAGAGAAAACGAAAGAGAAGGCGGCTTTAGAGATAAGTTTCTATGGGCAATGAAGTTTCTGTGGCAAGTGAAACATTCTCTCTTTGTCCGGCTTAAGATAGGGCATGAGAAAAAGAAAGTTCTTGTTTCCGGGTATATCGATGATGTTTTGGACATTGCTATTGGGATCATTGAGGCTCCATGAAGATGGCCCTCCTTCAGTGGGAAGACGCAGTACTCCAGATGAATTCTTCCAATTAAAAAAATGCTTGCAAACGCTATATTTTGTTTTATAAGCCAAGAATCTCTTCAAAAATAAGTTCTCGTGTGTGTTTGAAACTACTGGATGTCTAGGCCTCCTCTTGGAATGTGTCCATTTGCCACTAGTTCCTATTTGCTTTCTATTAAGTGCTGCACGCCATACCGAAGTTTCATCATCGAGCCTGCTTGGTAGTTGGAAATTCAAGTAATAGGAGAATTGGAAAAAAAGGTTTTTTGTCATTTCACGGTCTGGGGAGGGTTAGATGAACAAAATTATCAAATTCACTATTCAAGCTTTTACCCGCAAGCAATGGTATTTTGACCCGGGTTATGTACAGATTCAAATTCAACTCAAATAACTGCTTGCCATTGTGTATAAGAGATTACAAAGGGGTACCCAAAAAAGAAAGGCTTCTCCCTTGGGAGATGGTCCCATAGCGTCTATCAGAGTCTGTTGCTTGCCTTTTTATCTTTGTACAAGAGATTACAACTCTTGCAGTAGATAGCCTTGTTACTCCATAACTCGAACAGCTCAGATATCTAGCACCCTGAAAGAGTCTGCCACAACCTTAAGCTTGTTCCGGACTCGCCTCCACCGTCTTTCATTTGCTCCGACAATCAGCGTGTAGTATCTCCCTGCCCAAAGTGCAAGTTAGTAGTTAACAAACCAAGTACTATTTAAGTACAAATATACATTTTCAGGGTTGCTTTCGTTCGCTTTCATCAAAACTGGCTGCAGTATTGACTCATAATCATGTCTAAGTTAACAAAATGCTCAAGCTAGGCAGTATTCATTCTAAGTTCTGTCAGAGACAACCAGGATGTTGTAAATGCATACACCGGCTCTTGTGTTTATAGAGAGGAGGGGGGGGGGGGGG